CCTATCTGGTGGCACATTAGATTGCACGCGCAGTGCCCCAAATTTGCTGTGATCTGTGAGTAAGGTAAACGGTTGTCCATACAAGTAGGTTGCAGCTTTTTGAGGGCCCACACCACCGCCATGCACTCCTTTTCAATGGCAGTGAATCTACTTCGCTATGCAAAAGTTTACGCTTAGATAAAGCCCCCGGCTGCTGTAGGCCACCATCTGCTCCGACTTGGCTCAGTACTGCTCCCAATCCAAGCATAGAAGCGTCTGTATGGACGAGAAAGTGTTTAGTTGGATCAGGAGCAGAAAGTACAGGTGATTTTAATGAGCGCCGTCTTGAGCTGTTGGAAGGCCTGTTCACACTCTGGGGCCCATACTACTATCTTGGGGAGGTTTTTACACGTTCCTATATGGCACTTACTGGGCTTTAGGGTCAGTCCGGACTCCCTAATCCGGTCTATTACGGCTCCTATGTGGGTCAGGTGTTCGCCAGGAGCTGCTAAAAATGTCTATACCATTCAAGTAGGTGTGTATCAGTGTGTATCAGGGATCCTTAGGACAGGTGTCAATCCATATCTGCCAAGTGACTGGCTGTAGGGACCAGTCCCTATTCCCTGCCTGTGTCAGTGTGTATCAGGGAACCTTAGACAGGTGTCAATCCATATCTGCCAAGTGACCCTATGTAGGGGGAACAGTCCCTATTCTGCTCTGTGTCAGTGTGTATCAGGGATCCTTAGGACAGGTGTCAATCCATATCTGCCAAGTGACCCTATGTAGGGGACCAGTCTCTATTCTGCTCTGTGTCCGTGTGCATCAGGGGCTCTGAGGACAGGTGTCAATCCATATGTCAAGGTGTCAATATGTCATATTTCAGGTGTCAATCCATATTCATTGTGATTTAGGAATGTTAGGTGATTTCTGCCCTTTATGGATTAAAACCAGACTCTGCATCAACTGTGTAATTTTCCATGGGAGTTTTGCCATGGATCCCCCTCCGGCATGCCACAGTCCAGGTGTTAGTCCCCTTGAAACAACTTTTCCATCCCTATTGTGGCCAGAAAGAGTCCCTGTGTGTTTTAAAATTCGCCTCCCCATTGAAGTCAATGGCGTTTCGGGCGGTTCGCCGGTTCGCGAACATTTGCGGAAGTTCGCGTTCGCCGTTCGCGAACCGAAAATTTCGGGTTCGCGACATCACTATTAACGATGTGTTGTGTAGAGCAGTGCTGCTTTTAGGCAGTGTTTGAATAGAATACAACCTTTGTCTCAGGTGACAGAAGAGAAGAAAACAACAGGGTGTTGTGTCATGTTTGGTTTGTGAAATATGAAATTTCCTTCATACTTACCAGTATTTTCATTTTCCTGGTATTCCATGGCCGTATTTATGTTTGGGTAGTAATATAACTGGGGTCATGTAAGGGGTTCTAAATGCATAGATCTGTTTTTCTATTGCATATAAGTTGTAATGTATATCTTTGGTTTCTGCCCTTCTGTTAGGCGTTCTATTATATAGCTTTGGTTTTCCTATTCTTTAAGTTGTATTACCTGAAAGGGGAGGAGCTTGCAAATTTTAACACTGCCAGAGATGAGCTGGAAAATAAAAATTTAAAATAATTATGCAAAAATATTTCTCTATTCCCCTTTCTGGAGGCAAGTAGTCAGGAGCTAAAAAAAAGATATGGAACGTCCACTTAGATTATTGTAATCACTGCTCAATTCTCTGCCATTTAGGAGTTACATCCCTTTTGTTACTGCAGCCCTAGCCACACCTCCAATGACTGTGACTGACATGAAAAAAACAACTGGTTTAATTTACAATCTGATGTTAACTTGCTTTAAATGTTTTTATTTCCTGCTTTGTAAATTGAACTTTAATCACACACAGGATGCCAACAGGGTCTAGATGACTATTAACAGAGCAAGAGATAAATTCTAAATAAAACAGAATGTGCAATAAAGGAAATACAAACATTAGGTGTCTCTTTACAGGAAGTGTTTAGGAAGACTGTGTACGTCACATGTAGGAGATGTGACTAGGGCTGCATAAACCAAGTGATTCAACTCCAAAATGGCAGAGAATTGAACAGTGAGACTGCAGGGACATGATCTATACACCAAGACTGCTTCATTAAGCTAAATTTGTCTTGGTGACTACAGTGTCCCTTTAAACCCAGTAGTTTATGATAGTCAGGAGACTAGCAAATCTGTAGATGATAATTATATGTGATGTACTTTTACTCACCTTTGATATGTCTGACTTTGTTATCACTGTGCTGTTCACCTACAGTTGTGTAGTACATCCCTATAGAGCCATAATGCATTTTAAGCTTTAATTCAATAGAGCTTATTTACGAAACTTTGAATTATAAAACTATGGGAATTGCAAAATGTAAAGCAAATATCCAAGCTTGGAGAATTTGTCCAGTTTTATGACAGCTATATTTTTCATGTTTGACCTTTTGTGATCAAGTGCTGAGTGTGAATATAGCAATTTAGCTATGGTGCAAAGAGTTTTAAAGGATGAGAAGATCAAAGATGTGAGAAGAATGCATCAGCCTGCAAAAGTTTAGGAAGGTAAAACTTCTTTATATTTATTTTTTATAACACAACATGCTTTTTTAATGTGAAGAAATAAGGGAATATAAAATATGCAAAATCTTGTAATGACAGAGGTACTTTAAATAGGGGCTGAGACGTGAGACTGCACAGGCATGATCTATACACCAAAACTACTTCATTCAAATGTATAGAGACCTGAGCAGGGTCTAACCGAAGGGCAAGCTACTTATATTCCCAGGTTTTGTTATTATTATTAGTATTTTTACTTTGGTTACTGTATAGGCTTTGATATAATAAAAGTTATCTTTTTTTTTTAAAGTAAATATATACATTTTTTAAATAAATAAACAATTTAAAATCTTCAAGATCCCCCCACCACCACTACCACACTTCCACCCACCCCTGTTGCTGCCCCTCCAGCATGGCTGGTTTCAGTGTGAGTGAGCAGTGAGTAAGTGACCAACTCTCACTTCCTCCCAGAATTCCCTGTGGATTAGTAGCGGCACAGTCACACTGTTAAAGTGCTGCATCACATGACTAGACCCCTTAGAGCACAAGCACATCGGTTGGCCCTAAGTGCATGGGCTTTCCAATGGACCCTCACCCAGTGTTTCCCAACCTGTGCAGTGAGGCTGCACCGGCACCAGAATTGCCATTAGCTAATTTATTTTGTGTACCCGTGGGGGAACTGGATTGTACCCCTGAGGTTACACATATTGCGTGTTGGGATCCCCAGCTGTAGATGGTACAAGGTTTTACAGCTTGTGGGGGCTTTATGTGTAAAAGCTCCATTCCTTTGTGAATAGGACAATTTCCTTAATAATTTAAGACCAGATTCCCTTTGCTATATTGCCTTGTATTTTCTTTCTTTCTACATGTGAATTCAGGGGGATGGGGAATTAAATAAATAAACACTGCTATAATATAGTATAACAATATTATTTATTATATTGCACTAAGTAAGTGCTTCACATTGCAATATATCGGGATTGGAAAGATAACACAATACACCGACTGGTTTCGACACCTAAGTGTCCTTCTCAAGCATATCAATCTACACAGCAATGAATAAGGATCCTGCAGCCACATTAACTTAGCTAAACAACATCAAAATTAACCCTTTAACATGCAGAAGAAAAAAAACATTTAAAGCAGCACTTTCGTTAAAAGACTTATAAATATTGGAAATATATAGAGGAAATGCATATAAATTTAATTGTGAAACAAACAGGCTTAATCACTAAAGTGAGAATTTAAAGTAAATGTCAAATATAAGGCTGAACTAAAAACATAGCTGACATAGACAATGTTTCCAGTTTGGCTATTTTGGCCTTAAAGGAACACCATGTATGAAAAGCACTATTTAGGTGTCCGCTCCCCCATTCCCCCCCTTTCCCGCACGGTTCTGCTGGTTCTGTGTTCGCCACAGATCCAATGCTTTCCTTTGGGTTGACTGAGATCATTAATTCTGATCTCAGCCAAGGTGGCATGGTTGGGGGTGGAGCCAAATGCCCCACTGGACAATCAGCATTGAATCAATGCATCTTTGTGGGGAAAGTTCAGCATTTTGACGCAGAGCTTCTGAGGGACTGCCATTTGAGGTGTTACTAGACAGGAATGTAAACACTGGCTTTTCTTGCTAAGGCAGTGTTTACAGAAAAAAGCATGCAAGCATGACCGGTGTATAGTCGCCATATGGGCAGTCGGATTCCAGGACAACCCCCCACATACCTAACCCAATAACGCACTGACATGCAGGTATATGGGAAAATTTGTCCACAGCTTTATTTAAACAATCTTGAATAATAACAATTTATTAATTATAATAATAATAACCATAATAATCATTTAACAAATAAACATGAGTCATTGCCCCCCATACTCCGCCCTCGCATCCGAATACTTCTGTTGATATAAAAGGCAATGACCCCCATATAATTAACACACATATATATATATATATAACATATATACCAACATATTCCAACATACCAACTTAAAGTGCCAAACATAAATTAATCATGGCAGGGGTTTACCCGGATACCCCTACCCCACCAGGTTCTGAGCCACCGACAGGACTCGAAACCTACCAACCACCAATGACCACAGTTTTCCGTCTCCATGACATTCATCCTAGGGAGCCTATTTCTTATCCTTCAGCTCCCTATCACGCTGCTGTGAGAAAACGGGATAACCCTAATCGGCAACCAAAAACTCAGGGAGGGTGGGCGGGACAAACTCAGCCAGGTAGGAATTTAAAAGTGAATCATTTAAAATGGATGCCTATTTAAATAGCCAAGCCTACTTACCCATAACTCCATTCCTTCCTTGTTTCCTCCTATGCCCGCCTCCTAAACCCTGTCAAGGCCTTTTTTCGCTTAGCTGCGCTTTGGCTAAATGGGGCTACATTAAGCTTAAGTTGTTGCGACTATAGTGTTCCTTTGAATTTGAAATTAACTTTGAATTTCCTTGTGTGAATGCTCATAAATAACACTGAATGGATTTGCCATTTGATTTCTTTATTAAGATCTCCATTATTTAGCACCTCTAATGCAAGACACCAGTTAGATTATTTAAAAAATAAATACTTTAAACACCAATACAACTTTACCTTAATGAAGCAGTTTTGGTGTATAGATCATGCCCCTCCAGTCTCACAGCTCATTTCTCTGCCATTTTGGAGGTAAATCAATTTTGTTTCTGTCTATGAAGCACATCGCCCGACAGAGACTCACACAGCCCCCTACACAATTCCTGAAAAGGAGGCTAAATATTTTAGCTTCCCTTATTTCACAGTGAATTTAATTTAGATTGTATTATCTCCTGCGAGAGCCTACAGTAGATTCCTGTGTCTTCCTGTGTGATTAAAGGTCAATAAACAGAGTAGATGATAACTTCTAAAGTAAACACACCCCAAAAAGTTTTTTAGGAGGTTTTGTATTTCACAGCCATGGTAGATGTAGGCAGGGCTGCATAATCAAAGTGATTTAACCCTCGGACAGCAGATAATTGAGCAGTTAGACAGCAGGGACATTATGTATACATCAAAACTGCTTCATTAAGCTTTTCATTGTTTTAATGCTCATAGTATGTCCTTAAGAAGCTTTTACATGTATTACCATCTACAGTAGGTGGAGGAACATCTTCTAAACCAAACAAAGGCAGTGACCCATAAAATCGCCAGGGCATTCCCCTTCCCAGACAATATATTTGTTGTCACATCATCTTCTTTCTGTCTTTTAGGTAATCAAATAGCATACTCAGCCCCCCTCTTGCCAAATCTGCAAGAGGATCACCTAAGGGATTATTTATTATATGGAGACCTTTGTCAATTGGATTCCATGCGATTCTTGACAATCTATTTAACATAAATAGATCATCTGGAAGTGTCTTTAAAACATTAAAATCTGCATTTAGTAGTTCAAGAGTAGATAGTGAGCAAATAGACCGAGGTAAAACTCGTATTTTATTATTCTCAACAATAAATATCTTCAGGCATTCTAATTGTTTAATGTTGTCTGAGATATTCTCTATTTTGTTGGAACCCAAATGCAGAAAATTCAAATTTCTCATCTGGAAAACACTCACAGGAATGTTCACTATCCAATTATTGCTAAGATTTAATTTTCTCAGGTTAGTTAAGTCGCTGTAGGTGGTAGGAAGTCCAGAGATGCAATTGTGTGATAAACTAAGAACTTCAAGCTTATTGCACAAACTCAGCTCCTCGGGGACGTCATACAAAAAATTCATATTAACAAATAAGACTTTGAGGTTCTTCAAAAGTCCAATTTCTCTGGGCAAGTAAACAATATTATTCCAACTTAAGTTCAATACAACTATTTGTTCAAGCTTACCCAGAGCAGGTGGAAGTTTAGCCAATCTGTTATGAGAGAGATTGAGTTTTTGGACGTCAGTCAGATGCCATACAAAGCTTGGGATTTCTGCAACATTTTTCAAAACAAAGTTGAAATTGACGCATGAAGATTCTATTATCATCGGCTCATCGATATTATCTGGAGAGTTGTGGATGATCTGGTTTTCTGAAAATGTCTGACCTTTTTTTTTTTTGGTCTTGGACGACTGGCTTGTAAGTTTCTGTCCCATTGTTTTTCCAAGACGTCTCTGTTTTCCTCTTTGTGCTATTTTCAGTTAAACCTCCATGGCATGTTTATATTTGGAAAAGCTGAAGTGCTAGAAAATAAAAGTAAAAAAAAATAAAATACTGAAAATCAGAATTCTGTACGTTGTGCTGTTTCTGTAGGTAATTTCAAATTTAAGAAGCTGTTTTTGTAATCTCTGACTGCAGAAACACATGTTCGCAAAAGTGCTGAACAGACAAACGTATTTCTCAGTACATGATAGACCAGCTGTCCCTGCCATTTGCTGTCGCTTTGTGTATCTGCATGTCTCAATTACCCACTAAACATCCATGAGTCGCATATAGAATGAGATTCTATTACCTGCAAGAAATTTGTCACTTGATTATATGCTCAGGGGGAAACTAGAGATGTAACCAGTTAAACATTGATTCCAGATAGCAGAATCTAAATTGTTGTTTTAATTATCATATTTCTCTGATTGTACTAATTTGAAATAGTATAAAAATACTTTACTTTGAAACAGAGCACACAGCATTATGAAATGTTTAGAAAATAATCAAATAATTACTGCAGATTTGTTTAAAGTTTTGTATCCATGGGAAGATGCACTAAATAGCCACTTGTAGCACTGTATTTATTAAGATACCAGATTTAATGAAGATCATGGGTTAAAAAGCTTCCTTTTTATTTTGGAGCTATAAAAGTCCTTAAAAAGCTTATTCTGCTCTCACAATTCACAACAGAGTTTACCCCCAGACATTATCTCTCTTCCAAAAATAATATTCAAACTTTACTCTGCCAATTCATTAATATTTACATTTCCACAATTCTCTGCCAATGAACCCTCCTCCCTTCCAAATGTATATTCCTACAGTACCGTATAATTAACCTCCTCCTTACCCACTAAAGATAGTTACATTCAACCAACAATTAACCTTAGCCTCACCAAATTTACTATGCCGTCCAGTTTACCTCCTTTGGATTTTTCTCCCTCTTTCTGCCCACCTCCATCTCCTAATTTGGCTGGTTCCCTGGAACAGTAGATGTGCACATTTAACATTTTATTGTACCTCTGCATACTGATCCCTTACTTCTCAGTGAGGACCTTGATTGTACAAGCTGATGGATTGTGGCATTGCATACTGTGCTTTCATAACCCTTTACCTCAAAGTATATATGTTAGTAAATGCGACTGATCCTCAGCAGGTCAGCAACCTATCGAAGACATAGGAATGATAGCCAGCCAAATTACCAGACCTTAGAGGGTAAGTGTTTAATACTAAGAACGAAAAAGGAATTAACAGAACTAAAAAAGATAACCACTAAGGCCAGCATAACAAAAGTCTGTATCAATAGTGAAGAGAAGGCAGAGAAAACAGAATAGCAAAATCAGGGTCAGGAACAAGCCAACTTAGGGAAATTGGTAAAAATTAGTGTCAGGAGCAAACTGCATCAAAAAAACTTTAAAAAAGCAATGATATTCAATAATGACATGCGTAGGGACACAAAACCATGAAAGGGCTCTGCCCATAAAAAGGTAGGGGTTTAAAAGGAATTAGGTCCTGATGTCATCACCCTGCATCAGTTGGGACCAAGAAGGCTGCCCATACCTGAACATAAATGAATTAGTATGCACATTATAGGGGTGTTGCTGGGGCCAACTTCTACAATATACAAGATCCAGTGCACTCACTCATTCACTATACAGCAATTTCAAAGCTCACAGAATATAATAGTTTTGTTTTGTTTTTAAATACCAAAAATAAAGGAGGTTTAGTTATAGTATAGGATCATGCATCACATAAGCCTGTCACAATACTAATGTACTCCCAATGTATGTTGCTAGGATAAGACCTGTCAAAAATATGGTGCAGTCATCTTGGTTTCACATTTGTATATTTGGGAGTCCAGGCCTCCCTGTCACAGATTTCTCGTTCTAGGGTCCTATTTAACTTTGCACTGCAGAGAGTCCCAGGAGGAATGATTTCCCAAGTAAGTGGATTAATCTCATAAGAGCAGGGATTAAGATGCTAGAGTAGGACCTACCTGCCAGGAATGGAGTACATTGAGATTGTGGCAGGTTTATGCAATGTATGATCATATACTGTAACTAAACACCCATTATTTTTTGTCTACATGAGGTGGTTTTAAATAAAACTATTACATTCTGTGAGACTTGAAATTGGTGTTTAGTGAATGAGTGAGTGTGCTGCATCTGACATGTCAGCTGAATATACAAACTTACCCCCAAAATGATGCAGGAGTTTCAAACCAAGTATGTATTCTTGAAATACAGACACAATGAAAACAAATGGGCAGTGGGCAGAGTGTAAAATGTAAGTTCTGGCATCCAACAATCCCCCTTCCTCATGCTGGTTCATGGTGCTCTGGTGTTTTGAACAGAGCTGTGTGTATAATTTTTATACACCTTTACACTTCTCCCTGATCACCGGTTCACACCAGTGTGATGTCATAACTCTGTGCCGTAAACCATGCCAGGGCAGAAGGTAGAGTCCCAGATGTTGTAAAACTACAACTGCCATGATGCTTTGTCAGCAATTAGAACATGTAAGGATATACCTTTTGTCAAATCCTGTAGTTTGAACTATGCAGGCATGCACTAGGAATCAAGTTAGCAGGGTGCAAAAGATAAATGCACTGTACCAGATTCCCCATAACCCCCTCTTTTGGTGGGCATAGAACTGTCACAGAGCCACAATACCACAATACCAAATATATGTTTCCCAGCTATTAACCTGAATGAAAGCTATAACAAGGATCCACAATATGTGAATTTTTGCTGGGTGCAGGGCTCCTGCTGTCCGATGAAAGAGACAAAACCAATGTAGCCACAAATTTCTGAAATAGGATATTTATTCCTCGGAGGCTTGAAAAATACCTCATTGTAGAGTGAAATGTTGCCAAGTTCATACTTGGAGATCTGTGCTTTCTCCTTCGATCTACTAATGGTGCCATATAGAAAGTAGACTCGTATAGTACAAATATTTTTCATCTTTCTCACATATGCATCGAATCTTTCATCATATTCTCTTGGTTTAAATATTTTTTGTTGAAAAGTGTTTAGCAGAATTTCGTATGTTTCACTAAACACAGTGAAAACTGTAATTTTCAATGTAATTACTAGGTTCAATAATGTGAATAGGAGATTTTAAAGGGTAAACTGCATTCTCTACTCATTGAATGTCCCTATTTTGTGTCATTAAGTTATGTTTTTAAATTAGGTAAGGAGCAAAATCAGTAGGGGTTACATTTAATTTGATATGCGAAGAACTAGAATTATTCCTAGATTTTCCATATATTTCCTTTTAGATTCAGGTTGAAGAGTTTAATAATGTGGCGTTTTATAATTTGGAAGCAGACTCATTTTTAATATCAGTGTTATAGTGATAAAATAAAATAATGTTAAAGAAATGTGATGGTGCCATCTTCTGTTCAATTCTTAGTATTACAATAATTCTACAGTGTGATTGGAATATGTTACATTTCAATAGTAGTATTACTTAAAAACAAACTCCAAGACATCAGGAGAATACAATGCAATTATCCAATTGTTTTATTAATCTATAAATGTCTGATTCAACTTAACTATACATGGAATTATTGCACTTTTTTATTATTTAACATTAAATTGTGATTACACTATAATAAGCTTGGTCTATTCTACCAAAATGTTCTTAAATCAAATTAAATCACAAAATATAAGGTTGTTATAGGTTGCCAAAGTTGCATCATAATACAGATAGATATATGTACTTGATACAGATTACAGAACAGGGTACATACAAAAAAAATGTTTAAAATTTTACAAGGCTGCTTGAAATCACCTAGCTTAGCAAACAAATGTGGAGATTCAGCTACACCTCATAGCCATATTGTATGAAACCCACCACTGTGCCACAGTACCCTAGCAGAGCTGGGTCCTACATTCATTTTAATATGTTAAACTCCAGTACTTACTGCTTAAAATATTTGTGGAGACTCTCCTCAAATGTATGCTTTCCTGTGGTCACCTTCAAAGGTGCATCTATAGTCGAGAGGTGGGGTCCTCAACCCATAAGAAATCTGTCTAGAATCCAAATATAGACAGAAAAAAGGGAATTAGGGGTCACACCCACAGAAAAGCATATATGTGAGAAGAGTCTCTGGAAGCAATATAAAAAGTAAGTATTGCATTCGCATGTTAATCTCCCATGTTAACATTATTGCAACCGATATTGGTAAGCTTATCACAATATGGCCATATGGTGGAACTGAATTCCCATATTTCTTTGCTAAAATAGATGATTTTAAGCAGCCTTGTAAATTTTAAAACTGTATTTTTTGTGTGTGCTGTATTTTGTAATTTTGTATATATTTTGGTATTTATGGTATTTATGGCAGCACCACTACTGAGAAATGCATGTCCCCCCATTGTACTTGGTCGTAGTGTTTCTTGATGTGGAACACATGCCAACCAAACCACGATGGCAGACCAGGAGCCCAAATTCTGCAGTATCCTACAGAACCCAGGGCCATTGGGAGGTATGTGTAGTGCATACAATATAAAAAAAATTTGACACAGTTAACCTTAACATATTAAATGATTTAGCATTTTCTTGTGACTGAGCTATTTGAGCACTATTATATGGTCTTTTTGGAATTTTTAATTAACATATACTGTTCATAAATGATCAAAATAATATCTTTCATCTTTGCACATGTCTTTGAATCAGTTATTTAGTTAGTTTATATCTTAAATCCTTTTTCATGTGGGCTGTCTGTTACTTTGTTCATATTGCTACAGTGTACTGGGAAAGGTTGTATACTGTGTATTCTGCACAGTTACATAGGGGGTAACATATTCAGTCCAAGGCAAAGTTAAAGGACCACTATAGTGCCAGGAAAACATACTCGTTTTCCTGGCACTATAGTGCCCTGAGGGTGCCCCCACCCTCAGGGTCCCCCTCCCGCCCGGCTCTGGAAGGGGGAAAGGGGTAAAAACTTACCTTTTCCAGCGCTGGGCGGGGAGCTCTCTGCCTCCTCTCCTTCCCTCCTCGCTACGCCGCTGAATCCACGCGCAAGCAAGACAAGCTACAAGATTCAGTTGAAAACGCCATAGGAAAGCATTTACAATGCTTTCCTATGGACGCTGGCGTGCTCTCACTGTGAAAATCACAGTGAGAAGCACGC